AAAAAAAAAAAAAAAAAAAAAAAAAAAAAAAAGAGATCAAGACTATGCTGGCCAACATGGTGAAACCCTGTCTCTACTAAAAATACAAAAATTAGCTGGCCATGGTGGTGTGCGCCTATAATCCCAGCTACTCGGGAGGCTGAGGCAGGAGAATCGCTTGAATCTGGGAGACGGAGGTTGCAGTGAGGCCAGATCATGCCACTGCACTCCAGCCTGGTGACAGAGTGAGAGTCCATCTCAAAAAAATAAAATAAAATAAACAATAAAAGAGAAAACAGACAATGCCTAAAGCCAAGGAATTAAGTACTAGCAATATAAGCATGCAATTCACAAATACAGAGTTAAAGAACAGAAGAAACACTGGCTTGGGGCTGATAAGAGAAAGCAGGGAAGACGACTACGATTTGTTCTTCTACCAGGAAGGACGAGTTCTCTCTCCTTATGTCACACCGAATTCTGATTACAGTAAAAACTACGTTAAAAAGTAAACTGCAGGAAGACTAATAAGACTTTTCTTTTTCTTACCTGGATCACCTAGCTTGTGAGACATTTCATTTAGAGTCTCGATCTCCTCTTCTTTTGGAGCGTGAATGACCATAACCGTAGATCCTAGAATACTTAGCAAACACCCAATTTTCCCATGAAGATTAAGTCTTTCATTTAGAAAGTATGAAGAAAGAATGGCACTAAAACAGAGGAAAAAAGGTTGAGAACTTTAATCAGCTACTTTTCTTTTACAAATACCAATAAAACTCATAATTTAAATCATTGAACTCAAAACAGCGTGAACTTATGAAGATTCTGGTTTCGCCAAGGGAATAAAAAAGTATATTTTGTCATAACATGCAAATGTTTCCAGGGAATCATTTGCTTCATCATACACTACATCTGTACACTTAACATCTTTCCACTGCAAGAAGTCGATATGAAATTTATAATAAAGAACGAATTTGTATAAATTTATATCCTAATTAAGAACCTATATCCAGGCCAAGCATGGTAGCTCACACCTGTCATCCCAGCACTTTGGGAGGCCAAGGCAGGTCAATCACCTCAGGTCAGGAGTTCAAGACCAGCCTAGCCAACATGGTGAAACCTCCTACTAAAAATACAAAAATCAGTCAGGCATGGTGGAAGGCACGTATAAATCCCAGCTACTCAGGAGGCTGAGGCAGGAGCCGGAAGGCAGAGGTTGCAGTGAGTCGACATCGCACCACTGCATTCCAGCCTGGGTGACACAGTGAGACTCCATCTCCAAAGGAAAAAGGAAAAAAATAAATAAGTAAAAGAATCTATATACAAACCACCAACGCTTCAAATTTGCTCAGTCTTAAGTTATTTCAACTGGTTGATGCACCCCTCTTATGTGTTCATTTAATTGCATACAATTTGCCTATTAAATTATCAGGTTTTAATAACTTATAGCTAGTTTTAGCTAACCCTACAAAGAAAATACAGCATAAACCAATAAATACAGTAACAGTCTACTATAAAGAAAATAAAGGGTAAAGGGCAATAACATACCATAACCCCATTTTATATACAGTGTTTTTTTTGGGGGAAAAAAAAAACATAAAAATTAGTCAATCCACTTTGGGAACAGTAATCAAGATCCAGACTTCAATATGGGCTTAGCAATGTTTGGGCTAATCACTGAAAAGCAGAAATGGGACAAGTCTTAGATCCTCATTCAAAACAAGCACCCCAGGCCAGGCATAGAAATATACTCATCACCTACCAAGCCCTACCAAAGTGCACATGCACTCAAAGATAAATGCTAAGATGAGTGTATTTATTTATTTACTTTTGAGATGGAGTATCGCTCTGCAGCCCAGGCTAGAGTGCAGTGGTGCATTCTCAGCTCACTGCAACCTCCGCCTCACGGGTTTAAGCAATTCTCCTGTCTCATCCTCCCAGGTAGCTCAGACTACAGGCACCCGCCACCGTTCACGGCTAATTTTTGTATTTTTAGTAGAGACGGGGTTTTACCATGTTAGTCAGGTTGGTCTCAAACTCCTGACCTCAGGTGACCCACCCGCCTCAGCGTCCCATAGTGTTGGGATTACAGGCGTGAGCCACCATGCCCGGCCAACTTTGAATTTTAAAAAACTGAACTCGAAGTAGAACTAGGACTGGCTCTGAATACAAGAAGACAAAGGATTTTCTTCCACAAATCAATAGCTTGCCTATGCACAGAAAATAACGTTTTAAAAGCAAGTACTACATAGTGTAAAAAGCAAAGTTCTCCAGGTTGTTAAAATGTAAATTGTGTTGAACACATGTAATCAGATGGTAATTAATATTTTACAGACTAAGATACTCACTACTGTTTCTAGATGAAAAATGTCGTGTCCTTACCTTACTAGAACGCTGAGAGCACCTAATGGAGTCACTAGTGTGGCTGGTGCAAACGCATAAGCAGCAAAGTTGGCCACCTCACCAGCTCCCACTTGGAGACAGACAAAAGAAACTATCTCAGATAAGAATGTATGTACACAACTTGAAAATGCCTGCATTTTATACAATATCTATAGATTATTTCAACTGAATTTAGTAACCTCCATATTTCTCCAATCTATTAATAAGGGTTATGGTTCTGTAAATTTCCAACATTACAGTAAGAGTCCAAGTCAATTAGAAACACTCAAGAAACACCACATATCTATAATCTAACTGAAGAAATGTAGTTCATGCTGACATAAAGGCATTTTAATATAAATTTTAAATAGATACTTATATCCTAGGGCAGTAAATAAAAATCACTTAAAAGAAGCCAACATTAACGTAAAGGTACTTCTCCCAAGTCCTTTTCACTGGTTCTTTTTAAAAATGCGAATCCTGAGATATGCCAGGTCCTGTTCCAGGATCAGGAAATACAGCAGGGGGCAAAACAAAGACTCTGCTCTCATAAAACTTTCAGTGAGGGAAGACAAACTAGGCACATGTGCCAAGAAGTTAAAAGTGTTATGAAGAAAAACAGCAAGTGTTAGTGAAAGAGAAAGTTTCCTACTAGGTGTCATGGCATTAGATAGGGGCTCTCTGATAAGGAAACTTGAGAACACTTGGAAATTAAGTCCCACTAAGGAATTACCTAAATTGAAAAGCTACTGAGGAATCCTACGCAGGGCAGAGGCATGATCTCAAAAAGGAAGCTTCTTGGCTTCTGGTTTTTCCAAAACAGTTATGCCAATTTTCACTCAGCAGCATATGAGAGCTCCTTTAGCTCCAATTCTGCCCTGCTGATCTGCTAGGGGTATGGGACGACTCTGCTACATTTTCTTTGCTTTTCTCATTTTCATTTGTTTACTGACCCTGCGAAATCTTTTAGGGAATTACTGTTCAAGTTTATCTTCTATCTGTTTTCTTCTATTGATTTAAGGTAATTCTTTATACATTTCAGACATAAATCTTTTGTTGGCTAAACTTAGGACAATCATCATTTATACTCTGTCCGTTTTATTATCTTAGTAAACACTCTCCTTTTTAATTCCTAAAATGCCTTTTAAACATGGTTTGTTAACGATTAAAATTCAATCCAGGAATTAGGTAGCAATGCCTGAAATATCTTTTTATTCAGGATAATCTCTATTCTCTAATTCCTATTTATCTCTAATTGACTTCTTAAAAAAAAAAAAAAATTAAAGAAAAGAAAAAGCTTTCTTGAAACTTTTTTTATTTTGTGACGGCTCCGTCGCCAAGCTGGAGTGCAGTGGCACAATCTCAGCTCACCGCAACCTCTGCCTCCAGGTTCAGCAATTCTCCTGCCTCAGCCTCCAGAGTGGCTGCGACTACAGGCGTGTGCCACCACGTCCACCTAATTTTTTTGTATTTTTAGTAGACATGAGGTTTCACCATATTGGCCAGGATGGTCAACTTGATCTCTTGGCCTGTGATCTGCCAGCCTCAGCCTCCCAAAGTGATGGGATTACAGGATGAGCCACTGCGCCCAGCCCAGCTTTTTAATTAGGAAATTACACACTTTTTTTTTAACTGAATACTCTAGTTTTTTCATATGTATACTTAACTTGTCAAGTCTAATGTTAATATTTAGCTTTATTTCCTTCTCAATTACGCTGGGATTACAGGTGTGAGCCACCGCGCCCAGCCTAGTTTCATTCTTCAAGGTTATTTTCACTTACTTCTAACCTTAGAACTCTGAATCCATTTTCTTCCTTCCAGTTGATTATCAGTTATTGTTTAAATTTTATGCAAGGATATTTTAAGTCCACAAGCCATCTCTCATGTTTATTCATCAGCACTCACTCAGATGTACTCACGTACTCATCACTTTTCCTCCTGTATTTTTTTCTCTTCTGTAATTCTAAACTTCCATTAAGACTGATGTTTTTTGTTTGTTTTTGTTTTGTTTGGTTTTTGAGACAGAGTCTCACTCTTTCGCCCAGGCTGGAGTGCACTGGCGTGATCTCGGCTCACTGCAACCTCCACCTCCTGGGTTCAAGCAATTCTTCTGCCTCCGTTTCCCAAGTAGCTGGGATTACAGGCACCTGTCACCATGCCTGGATAATTTTTTATATTTTTACTCTCACCATGTTGGCCAGGCTGGTCTCAAACTCCTGACCTCAGGTGATCCACCCACCTTGGCCTCCCAAAGTGCTGGGATTACAGGCGTGAGCCACCACACCTGGACACACTAATTTTTGTATTTTTAATAGAGATGGGGTTTCACCATATTGGTCAGGCTGGTCTTGAACTCCTGACCTCAGGTGTACCTTGGCCTCCCAAAGTGCTAGGATCACAGGCGTGAGCCACTGCGCCCGGCCTGAATACTCTGTTAAATCTGCTTTAGTATAATTACATTCTCAGTTTATCCAAAACATGTTTTTAGTTTCTTTTTTTTTTTCTTTTTTTTTTTAGATCAAGTCTTGCACAGTCGCCCGGGCTGGAGTGCAACCTCCTCCTCCCAGGTTCCAGAGATTATTCTGCCTTGGCCTCCTGAGTAACTGGGACTACAGGTGTGCACCACTGCACTCAGCTGATTTTTTGTACTTTTAGTAGAGACAGAAATACAAAAATTTCACTATGTTGGCCAGGCTGGTTTCTAACTCCTGACCTTGTGATCCACCTGCCTGGGCCTCCAAAGTGCTGGGATTACAGGCATGTAATCCACCATGCCCAGCCTAGTTTCATTCTTCAAGGATATTTTCACTGAGTATTCTACTGCCAGCTACTTTTTCAGCACTTTGAAGCTGTATTTCCAACTGATTTCTTCTTCCAATGTTGCTGAAACTCAGTTGTCAATCTGCTGCCCCCTTCAGGGAAATATGAGGTTTTTCTTGGGCTGCTTTTAAGATACTTTGTCTTTGCTTTTCATCAGTTTTACCATGATTATGTTTAGGCCCAGTTTGCTTTTCACAGGTTCTGTGAAGGTTTTATAGGGCTTCTTGGGTCTGTGGTTTGATAACTTTGGTCAGTTTCAGAAAATTCTCAGCCATTTTCTCTTAGAATATTGCTTCTGATTCTGTGTCCCTTTTTACTGAGACTTCAACTATTTACTGAATCCTAAGCTGCATAACCCTCTTATCTATATTTTCTATCCTTTTTTCTTGCTTCCTTCAATCTAGACAATCTCTTCCAAACTGCCTCTGGTTCACGAAGACTTTCTTCAGCCATACCTAACCTACTGTTAAGTCAATTCACTCATTTTCATTACTGTTTTTAATTCTGTAATTTCTAGTTGTTTTGCAAATCTATAATGTCATTATAGTCTAGTTTATTGTTAGAATGACAGTTACTTGTGGTGAAAACATTTGTTTTGGGGTCATGATACCTCCAATATCTGTAGTGTCTGTGAGTCAGAGCAGGTGGTGGCTCCTGCTCTTGGCAGCACCAGACTGTGAGCTGTGTTAGTTCCGTTCAAAGGTTCACTCTCTCAGCTACCTCCTCTAGAGTCTGCAGTTACCTCTAGAGCAGAATTTTCTCTAGGTTATTCTTCTGAGATCTACCAACTTCACAAATCTACTTAAATATCTTACAGGCATCTCTAACTTTAACACATCCAGATCAAACTCCTGCTACCCACCCCCACACCATCGGCCCAGGTCCTTCCTGCAGTCTTACCATCCTGAACTCTTGTCTTTCATACCCTACATTTTGGTGAATGAGCAAATCTTGTCAGTTCTACCTTCAAAACAGATCCAGAATTCTCCCGCTTCTCACCACACTGCTACTACACTGGAATGCTATCACCGCCTCTTACCTGATTACTGCAATGGCCTCTTACCTGGTTTTCTCTGCGTCTGTCCCTATGCAGGCTATGCTTCAACACAGCAGCCAGACAGATCCTATTAAAATCTAAGACTAACCATATCACTCTGCTCAGAAGTCTCTAACGACTTCTCATCAGAGAAGTCCTGGGCCAGGCACAGTGGCTCACGCCTGTAATCCCAGCACTCTGGGAGGCTGAGGCAGGCAGATCACCTGAGGTCAGTAGTTTGAGACCATCCTGGCCAACATGGCAAAACCCCGTCTCTACTAAAAATATAAAAATTAGCCAGGCCTGGTGGCGGATGCCTGTAATCTAGCTACTCAGGAGGCTAAGGCAGGAGATTCTCTTGAACCTGGGAGAGGGCGGTTGCAGTGAGCCCAGATCATGGCACTGCACTCCAGCATGGGTGACAGAGCGAGACTCCATCTCAAAAACAAAAAGAAAAAAGGCCAGGCAGGGTGGCTCATACATGTAATCCCAGCACTTTGGGAGGCCAAGGCGGGTGGATCATCTGAGGTTGGAAGTTCAAGACCAGCCTGACAAACATGGAGAAACCTTGTCTCTACTAAAAATACAAAACTGGTCAGGCATGGTGGCTCATGCCTGTAATCCCAGCATTTTGGGAGGCCGAGGCAGGCAGATCATCTGAGGTTGGGAGTTCAAGACCAACCTGACCAACATGGCGAAACCCTGTTTCTACTAACAATACAAAAATTAGCTGGGCATGGTGGCATGAGCCTGTAATCCCAGCTACTTGGAAAGCTGAAACTGGAGAATCGCTTGAACCAGGGAGTCAGAGGTTACTTACAGTGAGCCAAGATCGTGCCACTACACTCCAGCCTGGGCAAGACAAACAGACTCTGTCTCCAAAAAAAAAAAAAAAAAAAAACATTAGCCAAGCATGATGGTGCAGGCCTGTAATCCCAGCTACTCAGGAGGCTGAGGCAGGAGAATCACTTGAACCCGGGAGGTGGAGGTCGCCGTGAGCTAAGATCACGCCAGTGCACTCCAGCCTGGGCGTCAAGAGCAAAACTCCATCTCAGAAAAAGAGAAAAAAAAAATCCTTCTCGTTTACCTACATGGCCCCACATGATCGGGGCCTCTTGAGTTCTCTGAACTTATTTCCTGCAACTTTCCCCTACGTTCACTCCCTGACTCCTACACCTGCCCTTTTAATGTTTCCCAAAGTTTTGGTAATCTAATATTGCTTAACAGAGCACCCCAAAATTTGGCAGTTTAAAACAACAATAACCATTTACCCCCTTGGTTCCTGTTAGTCAAAACTTTAGAAAGGGGTCAGTAAGTAGTTCTCACTTAGGGTCTTTCAAGAGGGTAAAGCCTAGATTTAAGGCAGGGTGTGGTGGTTCATGCCTATAATCCCAGCATTTTGGGAGGGCTAAGTAGGAGGACTGCTTGAGCCCAGGAATTGAAGACCAACCTAGGTAACACAGTGAGACCTCGTCTCTGTAAAAAATAAACAAAAATTAGCCAGCCTAGTGGCATGAACCTGGGGTCCCAGCTACTTGGGAGGCTGAGGTGGAAACTGGCAGGATGAGGATGCAGTGAGCCAGTATCATGCCACTGCACTCCAGCCTGGGCAACAGAGTGAGACCCTGTCTCAAATAAATAAGTAAATAAAAAGATTAAAGCCAGGGCTGCAGTCATCTGAAGGCTGAGTAGGAGCCAGAGGACCCGTATCCGAGGTGCTCACTCTCAGGACCAGCAAGGGAGTCCTGGCAAAGTGAGAGCCCGGGAGCTCCCAACCTGCTGAGTGTCCTCATACACTTGAGCAGCTGGCTTCCCTCAAAGTGAGCAATTCAAGGCATCAAGGAAAAAGCTGTAGTGCCTAGAAGGCAAACGTCATCACTTCTGTGGTATTCTTGGATCACACTGTTTTGACCTGCACTGATTCACTGTGAAAGGGGATTAGAGAGAGGTATGAACACCAGGTGAGTCCCTGAGGGCTGTCTATCTCACACTAATGGGCCTGGCATGCGCCCCACACCATGGCCTTCACAGCTGCAGTTTCCTCCTGCTTCCAGTGTTTCCCCCCATGTATCGTCTGGGCAGATCACTCGCTTCCTTTACATCATCACACAAGGGTCTTTCAGAGAGGCTGGCCCTGCCTCCCAATCTAACACACTAATAAACCTGTCTAACCTCCGTTTCATAATACTCCTTCTCCTTCGCATTTATCACCACACTCAGGCGCGCACACACACACATTTTGAGTTCTTCATCTTGTTTGATGTCTCCCATCTACAATGTAAACTTCATGTGGGTGGAGATCTCCTCACTAAAGTGTCTCCAGCACCTAGAACAATGCCTGGGGTACAACACTGATCAGTAAGTATTTGCTGACTGAACAGTCAGGGGTCAGTGTCTTCAGAATAATTTTCTTCCATGTACCTTTTCAAAGGGAATCACCAATATAGGCATGAGGATTTTTTGTATTTTTACTTGGTAACTCTTATCAAATGAATACCTCTTTTCAATTTGGAATGAGAACAAACGCAGGGGGAACAAACTAAAATAGAATTCTTAACTTTCACTTTCAAAATTACCTTCTTACATTGAGCAGAAATTTTAAAAACACACAGGCATATCAAACATGTTTTAATCAGATGGGTAAAAAGGCGGCCTCGTCATTCCACTTAAATGCCCTATTAGGGTATAAGAAACAGAAAGGCTTGGGCCGGGCGCGGTGGCTCAAGCCTGTAATCCCAGCACTTTGGGAGGCCGAGGCGGGTGGATCACGAGGTCAAGAGATCGAGACCATCCTGGTCAACATGGTGAAACCCCATCTCTACTAAAAATACAAAAAATTTAGCTGGGCATGGTGGCACGTGCCTGTAATCCCAGCTACTCAGGAGGCTGAGGCAGGAGAATTGCCTGAACCCAGGAGGCGGAGGTTGCGGTGAGCCGAGATCGCGCCATTGCACTCCAGCCTGGGTAACAAGAGCGAAACTCCCTCTCAAAAAAAAAAAAAAAAAAAGAAAGTGCTACTAAACTGCTGAACTTTTAAATTATATTATTTCAATTATGTTAATTAAAAAACAAGATTTAAAGTTTTAAAACTTGCTAGTAATGAGACTATAACACCATATGCAAATACTTTAATATAAAGCCATCATATTTTTCTTGCAATGTTCTTTATACATACTCGACAGCAGTCCGGCCCACCACAACCATTCCTTAAGATATGCATGGCCACCTTGTCCTGTGAATGAAAAGATATTTCACATCTATGGAAGACTGTCAGACTCTTGTATAAATTATAATAACTATGAATAATGACAGCTTTTAATTATCTCAGTTGCTACTTTAAATAAAGGTTTCTGCATGACTCAGGGGATTTCTCTGACAATTGCTTAATGATTATCTTGCCAAAGTAAATGAAGCATATCCACCACGAACAGTGAGAGCACCTGCCTCAGGACCAAGCATCAGGGACTGGGGGAACGAGCAGCAGATGCTGACAGTTTGTTTCTCCTCTGTCCACTAAACCCCATAGAGGCTATCATTTCATGTTTCTGAGACTGCTGAATTAGGTTTGGCCACAGAGATGGCACAGGGAAGAGAGAATCGTGGTACTGTTTACTGCCAAAGCAGGTCTCCTCATGAGGTCCAATCAGGTCTAGAAATGAAGCCAGAGCAGAATAATGGGACGTGACCATAATGCCACTACACTGAGGCTACCATGAATGTCCCTGATAGAGGAGTCAAAAGTGGAGCCAATCACCCTGATTACCCCACAGGGTCTTATGACTTGTCAGTGATTTCTAGAGAAACAACCTACACCACCCGGAAGTTCACTAAACTGGATACTCTTCAAGCAAGGGAAACACTCTCTTTCCTTCCTGCCAAAATGTCGAAGGTCAAAGCCAGAACTTCTACTATCATGGACAAAAGAGTCCAGTCTCTAATAACTTCTAATTCTGACCAGGCGTGGTGGCACACGCCTGTAATCCCAGCACTTTGGGAAGCTGAGGTGGGCGGATCACAAGGTCAGGAGTTTGCGACCAGCCTGGCCAGCATGGTAAAACCCCGTCTCTACTAAAAACTCAAAAATTAGCCAGGTGTGGTGGCAGGCGTGTGTAACCCCACCTACTTGGGAGGTTGGGGCAGGAGAATCGCTTGAACCTGGGAGGCAGAAATTGCAATGAGCTGAGACCAGGCCATTGCACTGCAGGCTGGGTGACAGAGCAAGACTCCGTCTCCAAAAAAAAAACCAAAAAACAAAAAACAAAAGAAAATAAATTCTGATTCTAACCAAGAACTTTTTTTTTGAGACAAAGTCTCACTCTGTCACACAGGCTGGAGTGCAGTGGCTCGATCTCGGCTCACTAGCAACCTCCGCCTCCCAGGTTCAAGCTCCTGCCTCAGCCTCCTGAGTAGCTGGGATTACAAGTCAGGCCACTGCGCCCGGCCAGTATTTGTATGTTAGTAGAGATGGGTTTCACCATGTTGGCCAGCCTAGTCTAGAACTTATGACCTCAGGTGATCTGCCTGCCTTGGCCTCCCAAAGTGATGGGATTACAGGCATGAGCCACCATGACCAGCCTAACCTGCAGGCATATCAAAATTTAAAGAATATGCTGTATGCTAATTTGTCATTGCTCCCTGTTTCTACTTTGATGATAACTGCAAGACTGAGTTAACTAATTATGACATCTTCTCACTTCTTTTCTCATTGTGAATAACCAAACATCAATTTTGTAAACATTTAGAACTCTTGAACAGTTTAAAGTTCCAAATGCACTCACTAGGAATGAAGATGTGGTCTTCTACAATCAAAAAAGCTGCGTATGTAGGTACACACTGAAGTCATTTCAAAGTCACACAAGGCATAACCTACCTGCTCTCATAGAGCCTTTCCTGGCAAGTCGAAGAAGCCCTTTTTTTTTCAAAATGAAACTTCCTCCAATGAAAATGCTGGAGCTCATAGCCAATCCCAGACCAATATAGAAGTCATATTTTCCACGCCCCTGGCTCATTTCGTTTGTTACTTAAGAAGTTCCTGTGAATCACATTGATCACAGAACAGAGAAACCACTGGTAATGGAGGCAGAATGAAGCAGTCTTCAAATCTAAATAATACAAAATGAAATGAGGTTTTCACAGAATGCTCATGACAGCACACATGCAATTCAAAATTTTACTCCATTTCTCTTCTAAAAAATATCTCCTTCATTACTAATAATTGATAATATATTTATTATTTAAATATAGCACCAATCTGTATATTTCTTCAAATTATGACAAAAGTTAGGATCATGATATAAAAGCAAGTTAAAACAATCAAACTCTGATCCCATATTTTTTTTAAAAGGTTCTTGTCTTTTGTAAAAGACTAAATAAAATCAATAAAATCAAAATAAAACAAAAGACTAATAAAATCTTTTGTGAACAAGCAAGAACTCAGATTTCATCACCACCAGGCCGGCTTTATAAGAGCTTCTAAAAGAACCACTACACATAGAAAGGAACAACCAGTATCAGCCTTTCTAAAAATATACCAAAAAGTAAACAGCATCAACATAATGAAGAATTTACATCAACTAATAGGCAAAACAGCCAGCTAACATCAAATGGCAGTATTAAACTCACATATATTATTATTAATCCTAAATTTAAATCAATTAAATACCCCAATCAAAAGACACAGACAGGCAAATTGGATAAAAAGCCAAAACCCATCGGTGCTGCATCCAGACCCATCTCACATGCAAGGATACACAAAGACTCAAAACAAAGGGATAGAGAAAGATTTACCAACCAAATGGAGAACAAAAATAAATAAATAAATAAAAAGCAGGAGTTGCAATTCTTGCCTCTGATAAAATGGACTTTAAAGCAACAAAGATCAAAAGAAGCAAAGAAGGACATTACATAATGATGAAAGGATCAATGCAACAAGAAGAGCTAAAGATCCTAAATATATACGCACCCAATACAGGAACACCCAGATATATAAGACTTATAAAGAGACTTAAGATTCCCACACAATAATAGCAGGAGACTTCAACATCAGTATCAGACAAATCAATGAGACAGAAAATTAATAACAATATCCAGGACTTGAACTCAGATCTGGAACAAGTAAACTTAATAAACATTTATAGAACTCTCCACTTTAAATACACAAAATACACACTTTTATCAGTACCATATCACACCTACTTACAGGTTTAAATGAAATATTGGTTGGCTGCTTGTTTGTTATTTTCTTCCCTCATTTTTTTCAGGTCTCCATTATCAAGCACAATTATAGGCACACCCATTTTTAGACTGCATTCTAGCCCGGGTGATAAAGCAACACTCCCGTTTTCTCTCCCGCTTGCTCTTTCTTCCTCTCCTTCATTCTTTTTATTATTATTCTTTTTTTTCTTTTTTTTTTTAAATAAAAAAGAAATAAATAAAAAAGGTTCTAGTCTTAATAAAGCTTTCGATAGGCCGGGCTCGGTGGCTCACGCCTGTAATCCCAGCACTTTGGGAGGCCGAGGTGGGCAGATCATCCTGGCCAACACGGTGAAACCCCATCTTTACTAAAAATACAAAAAAACATAGCCAGGCGTGGTGGCATGCGCCTGTGGTCCCAGCTACTCGGGAGGCTGAGGCGGAAGAATCGCTTGAACCCAGGAGGCAGAGGTTGCAGTGAGCCGAGATTGCACCACTGCACTCCAGCCTGGTGACAGAGCAAGACTCTGTCTCAAAAAAAAAAAAAAAATAAAAAAAAAAAAAAAAAAATAAAAAAAAAAAAAAAAAAATCAAACAAAAAAAAAAAAAAAAATTAAAAAATTAAAAATAAAAATAAAAAGAAATTCTGATAAAAAAAAATAAATGCAGAATAAAAAACTGGGCATAACAATATACAAATCTGGTTTATAAATACATTTATCAGGTTCTCAAATGTGTCCTTTTGAATAATCTATACAAAGAAACTCAAAATTGTCTTACCACACGTTTTCTTCTTAGCAACACGTGGATATAACATATGCTAATTTATTTATTTAGCTTATTTTGGCATGTTCTGAGAAGATTTCACAGTATTTGTTACCAGGGGATAACGATTCTTGCGGAGAGGTGTCTGCTGGGGTGTGTGGGATGGTACCGGTGGCCTCTAGAGAACATGAGGACCATGACACCTAAAGGGCTCAAGCCTCAAGACCAGAAAGGAAGCACAGGCTTCCCAAAGACTGCAATTTTTTTCCCCAAATGGCCAACTCATAAACTCAGTTGACAAATGAACTAAGGCACAGCGTGGATAGCAGAGAAAAAACAGTTTTTAGCAACAAGGTTTATGACTGGTTATAACTGCCAATCCAGCTTTCTAGCACATCTTGGGATTTCTTAGTCCCACAGTTTAACTACTGAGTCCCAAAACTAACCTCCAATTCAGTCAGGACCCTAACTAGCTAAGTGTTTCCACTCTTCAAGTTATGAGACACTGGCTTTTAACCAAAGCAACTTAACTTGCTGTCCACCTGGCCCCTCAATTACTTTATCCATCCACTCAACCAGTATTTACTGGATATATGCCGTACGCCCTGAGTGTTCATTATGCTAAGCTATCTAGATAAAAGTGATAGCTTTTAGTCTTCACAAAGAAGAGAGACAAGAGATAGTTACATAAGGAGTGATAATACTACAATCATGGTAAAGACAACATTATCACACTGAGTTGGTATTACTCCCAAGAAATGAAAAAGGCTAATGTTTTTGATTTGCCCATCAAAGCACATATGCTTCCTGTATGATTCAATGAGAAGACTATCCTCCCTCACCCCTGATTTGCACCTTGGCCATCAAGCTTGCTTTGGCCAAGAGGAGGCAGGTGTAAGCAACAGAGTGCCAGTTCTGAGTCTACCCCTAGAGGGCTCTTCTACTTCTGCCTACCCCTTCACACCCTGCCACAGCCACTTGAAGAGCATCTCCTGATCACAACAGGGCACAGTGAAAGGCACAGAACAAAATCGTCCCAGTGACTCACAGAACTGTGAGAATGATTCAAGTGCCTATTCCTATATGCCACCAAGACAGCTAACTCTTACACACCAACAGGCTTACTACAAGTATAAAACTTCCACCCTAATTTTTGAAAAACCAAAAATTTTCTGTAGAAAACAGGGATTCAGTGATGAGTAAAAGATGGGTGATGGATGCACAGGAGCTCACTGTGTTACTGTATCTGCTCTTGTCTATTTTGGAACATTTCCATATTATCATTTTTAAAATACAATCATCAGTGCTCAAAAGGTATAAGAATGCCAAGGTAGAAACTACCAAAGTCCCAAAAGCAAGGTCACCCCACAACCTAAGACAAAATAATACTGAAACACTGAAAGAAGTCACTCAAGTCAAAAAGGTACTGAGTTCTTAATAGCGTCAGTCATAATCTCATGAGTAAGACTGTCTACCTGAAAGCTTTCCAGAACTGACATCCCCCTTAATTTGGAAAAGTATCCCTAGTCCTCTCCGTGCCGTTCATTAGGCAAGATGATTCCATGAAAAAAGTCTCAGGTGGGGAGTTTGGAGACCCCTCTTGCTTCCAGCTGGGGGTGAGATCTTGGGTAAGTTACAACATTAACAGATACATACATGAAAACAAAGAAGCTAAACAGTCTGGTGAGGGAGACTGGCTCATAAACAAGGCTTTACCCACTTTATGTGCCAGACACTGGTCATCTCAAGCCTCAAGTTAACTTCAGCATACCTATGGAACAATTCTAGACAGGTGAGTCTCACTGACATAAACACATTTCAAGAGTTCTTCTACCTCGTAGAAGAACTTGGGAACAAGATGTCAAGAACAATCATTTCTATATAAGATTGCAGGGCCGAGCACAGTGGCTCACGCCTGTAATCCCAGCACTTTGGGAGGCGAAACCCAGCCTCTACTGAAAACACAAAAATGAACTGGGCATAGTGGTGCATGCCTGTAATCCCAGCTACTCAGGAGGCTGAGGCAGGAGAATCGCTTGAACCAGGGAGGCAGATGTGGCGAGAGATCACACCACCGCACTCCAGCCAGGGCAACAGAGTAAGACTTGTTATCCAAAAAAAAAAAAAAAAAAAGACCGCAACAAAAAAACAATTGTGCTTACACTATTCCCAACACATCCTGCATGACCTGTTGATTCGTGTTTATGAGCCCATAAACTCCCGGGCTCACGCATGTGATTCACCCTTTTAGCCTATGCACATACTATCTGGTCGACTCAAAATAGGTCTTAATACATGTTTTCTGGGTGAATATGGATGAATGGAATAATTTTTTTTTTTTTTTTTTTGAGACAAAGTCTTTCTCTGTCACCCAGCTTGGAGTGCAATGGCACAATCTCAGCTCACCACAACCTCCACCTCCCAGGTTCAAGCAATTCTCCTGCCTCCGCTCCCACCCCCACCCCGAGTAGCTGGGATTAAAGGCATGCACCATCAGTCTAGCTAATTTTCCATATTTTTAGTAGAGACGGGGGTTTCTCAGTGTTGGTCAGGGTGGTCTCGAACCTCCAACCTCAGGTAATTTGCCTGCCTCAGCCTCCCAAAGTGCTGGTATTACAGGCCTGAGCCACCACACCCAGCCGTTTATCTACAATTCTAACCCCAGTATAACAACAGACTCACAAATCCAAATTTAAATTTTTTGAGACATGGTCTCATTCTGTCACCCAGGCTGGAGTGCAGTGGCACCATCATGGTTCACTGTAGCCTCGACTTCCCAGGCTCAAGTGATCCTCCCACCTCAGCCTCTTAAGTAGTTCGGACCACAAGTGTGCAACACTACACCTGGCTAATTTTGATACTTTTTGTAGACACAGTTTCACCATGTTGCCCAGGCTGGTAACTTCTGAGCTCAAGCAATCTGCCTGCCTCAGCCTCCCAAAGTGCTAGATTATAGGTGTGAGCCACTGCATTCCATCCAGATTTTATTTATACTATGAGCCTGACTTTCAAATAACTAATTTGTAACTACTTAATTTACTAATATTTACTAACACTTCATGTTATCTTTCACTAAATGCAAGTTACATACATGGGGTGTAAGGTCTAAAATTAAGACCCAATATCACATGTTGCCTTGACATCTGACAAAAACTGGGAGAACTTTTAACGAACTCAGTTCAAGTTTCCCTCCCTATGCTGCCAAACAATTGTCATCACAGTGACCAGGCACAGGTACAGGTCCTGCTTATGCCTGAGGAGTAGGCCCCATTGCCCCACCAGCCCAAGGAATTATTAAAGCGATTATTAAAGCCTTTCTGCAGGAACCACAGGCACTTCTGTTACCACAAAGCCTGCTGCCTGCAGCCCCTGGTTCTCCATTCCATTCAGAACGAAAGACTAGGAAACTTCTGTCCATCTCACCTGCCCAGTGTTAGTATTGTGGGGTGGAAATCCTTCTCCCACTGATGAGGTAAAGAGGTGATTAAAACAATATATATAATGGAATTTTATTCATTTAATCCTAAGGTCACTAAAAATTATTCCTAACCTAAGGCTATCATATGAAATTTTCTCCACATTTATTTTACATAAAGTTTCATGATGCTATTTAAAATCTATTTCTCCTTTCCCTTTTATTTTAATCTATGTGTTATGGGACATTTCAAACACCAAAAGCAGAGAGAAAGCCTTTTCTGACCAGCTGGGTCCATCGTGTGCATATGGATTTCCAGAGTCCCCTGACCAGCCACCCCTCTCCTGCCCACTTCATTTCCCAGCACAGGAAGCTGACCTGACCCCCTCAGACAGGCCTCCCCCAGCTCCTCCTGCAACCCACAGCGTTCTCCACTCAAGGCCAGGGTGCACCTTACGCTGGGCTACAAAGCCTTCTGCAATTGGCTCCAGCCAACAGGCATTTTCTCCTCTTTCCACTATTCAGTCAGCCTTTTAAATTTAATTCTCAATCACTGTTCTATCTTCAAGGTAAACTCTTTAAGTTCCTTAAAGACAACTATTTAGGTTTTTTGTGGTGGTTTCCTCACAAAAGGCACTCATTTAGAGTAGCAAATTTGATTTACAAGCCTTTCTAGAATAAGGCTTATCACCAAATAAGGTTATTCAGTTGTTTTCTTTGTTCATTCATGGAACTATACCCGTGTGTATGTGTGGAGGGGTGAGGGATGACGCCAACATAAAATCTGCAAGCCTTCAAACTATAAAGCAGCCTGCTGCCACCAAGAAAATAAGTGATCTCATTCTGACTTACAGTTAGAAAATAGGACATCAGAGGGAATGTCCTAAAAGGAAGGAGTTGCTTCACTATTCTCAGACCTGGTCCCACTCTGCACCCTCTCTCTGTAACTGAAGGTCAATCACAGCTGGGAGAGCCTGCAACAGAAGTATTTTTTATTCTTAAGGATTAGCCATGAGGCAGGGCCAGTATTAAAAACAGCTAAACAATAAAACTTGCTAAATTTCACTTCAACTAGGTTCCCAACCACAGATGGGAAGCTCCAGCTGGTTAACCTGCCCAAATTACTTAGAGGGACTTAGGGGAGTAATCCCAGCTGTGGCCATTGCTCAACAAACACTGAGCAGTTATTATTTGCCAGGCAAGGAGTTGTAAAGATGATCAAAGGGACCATCCTCAAAGATTCCACAACTAAGAGAATTAAAAATTCCAAAAAGAAACTACTGAAGTTTTAAACACTTTTAAAGAACCTTACGATTTTCTGCTTATCATTCTTTATGTGTGGGGTGTTTTCCTGGTGCTTTGAGGCCCTGTCCCGCTCTGTGGCCCAGGCTGGAGTACAGTGGTGCTGCCTCGATGCCTGGGCTGCAGCAGTCTCCCGCCTCAGCCTCTCAGACCCACAGGGCCACAGACACGCACCACCACACCCAGCTGATGTTTTTGTTCTGCTTCTTCCCTCTAGATTTTAAAAAACTCAATTTTCACAATTAATTTTACTCATATTTGTACACTTCCACTAAATATAAAGCATGTCAAGAATGAAATAAATACATCTCAAAGAAAACAAAATTACGAAATTGGTCCACCTTCTTAATGTGGAAAACACATAATTTAAGGAACAGGCAAAGATGGTCTAGTATTCTTTTTTTTTTTTTTTTTTTTTTTTTGAGACAAAG